TTAAAGCTTGTATGTATTTTGACTACACCTGAATGGTAGATAGCTCTCTCTCTCCCTGTCTGTCTGTCTGTCTATCTATCTATCTATCTATCTGGTTTCATTAAGTATTCCTGAATGTAGATCAGGTTGGCCTTGAACTTGAAGACATTAGCTTGTCTCTGCCTACCAACTTGCTGGGATTAAAGTTGTGTGCCACCATGCCTAACAAACTTGTATATTTTTCACAGAAATTTCACACTGAAATAATCTAAAGCTGTCATACTGTCTGCTCTATGCAGTGCTCACCTCAGAAGTAAGACCCAATAACCACAATAAAAACCAAATCTTTGTTTCAGGTAGAAATTCTATGAACGGCTGTTTCTAAAACAGAAAGGCTTAGAATGGAAAAAAAAAGGTTGTCTATGGTCATGTTAATGTAAAACTTAGACACACAACTTATTCATGTATTCACTTCAGGGGTCTTAGAGTCTGCTGCCCAGGCTGGGGTACAGTGGGTATTATTAGGCACAGCCCCAGGACTGCAGCCACAGTGAGGAGATTCCCACCTAGAACCTCCACTTGGTATGGGCTGGAGTGCGGTGCTCAGCAGCCAGTGGGAAGCTGGCACTTGTGCTGCCAGCCTATGCAGTAACTACAACACTGTGCTTGTGTGATACTCATCCATCTATTCAAGGACTCTGGCACTGTCTACCCTCCTGCCTCGGCCTCTTACTACTGAGAGCGCAGGCATTAGCTACCATGCGTCTGTCTGGCATAGAGCCTTCCCTTAGAAGTGTCTGAATATGCTGGATATGATACCTCATGTGAGAGAGAGAGTGTGTGTGTGAGTCAGTCAGTTCAGACTGGACATCTTGTTGACCTGCATGTCCAGAAGAAAGAACAGAGTTATGGTGGGATATGTCTGTGATCCCAGGACTTCAAAAGTGGAGACAGGAGGATTGGTTAAAGACAGTTTGAGGCTAGCATAAGGTCCATGAAACTCCATCTCAAAAGAGAAAAGACCCCAAACAAGTCCCCCAAACAAGCTCCTCCCAAAACAAAAATTTTAGTAAACTTGAATAACAATGTCTATCTTCAATGGTTTCTTTCTTTAACGAAAAAAAAAAAAAAAAAAAGGTGAGTCTGCCAAGCAAACATTTGCCAAGAATGGCTTTTCTTTTTTTTACTTATAGACAAATTCTAATCCACTAAACACACATGAATCTTTTACTTTAAATAAATCTACAATGTCTAAATAAGTTTTTTTTTAAAGTTAATTTTTAGTAAGATGCAAAATAATGGGTCTTGCTCCACTTCCATACATATATACCACTGTATAAAAGAGACTTTTTAAGGCCAGAATGTAGTTGTCATTTTCTCAATAACTTCACTATAATATTCACAATGAAATACTCTGATTTTACAAAACTAAATCACTAGTAGCAAATTCCTGCAAGATTTCATGTTGCATATAGTTATAGTAGTTCTAATATTTCCGAGGTTGTGGCAGGAGGATTATGAAGTCAAGACTACCTTAGACCACATAGGGATTTCAAGGCCAGCCTGGACTACAGGACTTCCTCAAAAAAACAAACAAACAAACAAACAAACAAACAAAAAAACGGGGAGAATATAGAGGTATATCATTTAATTCCAGGACTCAGGAGGCAGATCACTGTGATCACTGTGATCAAGTAGATCACTGTGAATTCAAGGCCATCCTGGTCTACTTAATGAGTTTCAGACCAGCCAGGGTTACATAGTGGGCCTGTCTCAAGACCAACCACCAACCAAACCAGAACAGAGTAAAATAACATATATTAAAGTGCCCAGCCCCAAGATTTTGGAGGTGTTGGGGGGGGGGTTGCTTGCTTTTAATTCCAGGGCTCAAAGGATAGGTGGAGCTCTGAGTTCGAGACTAGCCTGATCTACAGAGTGAGTTTTCAGGACAACCAACACAAAGAAACTCTGTCTCAAAAAAGTAGCAAGTTTAAGGCAAAGGCAGCAGCTGGGATCATCATTTGTATAAAGTTAAGGCACACATGAGGAAAAAACCATGCTGTCGGCAGGCATGCTTTCCAAGTCTACCAGTGATCTCAGCTATGGAAACTTACTTTCCTGTTATGGCCACTGTGATTGAAGCCCAAGTGTTAAAGAACAGATAATGGGCTGGGTGGTGTGGTGTATGACTATTTTGGCACCTGTGAGGTAAAGGGATGGCTATGAGTTCCACGCTAGCCTGAACTATATACTGAGTTTAAGGCCAGCTCGGGTTATATGGCAAGATCGCATGAATCTCAAAACAACCAAACCAAACAACAAAATTGTAAATATAACACAGCTTCTCAAGTAAGGTTTCCACGATGAGAGGAACTAGTTAATTTTAGTGCCTACAGTTTTTCCCATCAAAAAAGGAGGAAAAACTCACAGAAGGTATTATGTTCAAATTTAAATGATTGAGTAGAGTTCCTCAGACAAATAGTATCTGAATTCATTTTAAAGTTTTAACACAGAAATAGGCATCTTAAACATCAGTTACTCCTAAATGCTTTGTAATGAATTTTAAATGAAAACTCCTCATTCCCTTGGAGCACACAAAAAAGACTGGCTATTCCTGCTGTTGCTTCTATTGCCTCTGCAAGCAATTCTCCACTGTGGTTCTACCACAGTACAGTGGTAGAACCACAGTGGCACCTGCCTGTCATCTCCGCACCCACTACACTTGAACTTTGATCCCGTTTATGCGTTAAAGTTTGCTCATTTAAAAAAAGTGGGGGAGGGATTCTGGGACTGAAGAGATGGCTCAGTGGTTAAGAGCACTGGCTTCTCTTCCAAAGCACCCAAGTTCAAGTCCCCGCACTCACGTGGCAGCTCACAACTGTCTGTAACTCCAGTTCCAGGGGATCCAACATCATCACACAGACATACATGCTGGCAAATCACCCAATGCACATAAATAAAAAATAAACTATATTAAAAAAGTAAATGCATGATATCCTGTAATCTATAAAGTCACTCAACAAGCACCACTCTGTAAGTTCTTAAAATGTCAACACTAGGAAAAATAAACACGCCTCAATTCTGTGTGACACGCAGCTGTATGTAATGCACCAAATAATCTATACAAATTAAAAGAAAAAAACACAAATAAAATCATAGACGTGATTCTTAATAATTTTACGTGAAGAAAACCCAAAGCATCTTTCAGCCTATTGCTAGGTTTACAGGAGTAATCTTTCTTTTTGGCCAGACGGACCATAACAGGCTTGTCCTGCTGTACTGAGAGTTTAAATACACAGTGCTTCTATTTGCACTGTGAAAAATAAACAGCTGTATTATGCCTTTTTGGACAGTCAATAGGTTTTACTTACATTGCTTTGTGAGAAGACAAAAGACAGCTCTTTACAAGTGACTCGCAGCACCCCTAGTTTCGTGGATACCAAACCACAAAATCTTAACCATAACACATGAAAACCTAAGTACGGATACATACAATATAAACGGCAATAAAATAAAGACAATCAAGTGACCTCTAAGGCTCTCTACTGCCAATTTACAGACTGGCCACCAGATACAGAACTTGGACTTGCCATAGAGGAAAAAATTATTAGCCTGTAAACAAAATAAAACAAAACAAAAAACCCTAAGCTGCCACTGTCACCATCATGGAAAAAAAGTTAAAATGGAAAACAATAACGTCGTAAAACCTGTGTCTCGTAAAGATATCTTCCCATCGGAAGGCGCAGGAACATCTCCCCCCGCGGAGCAAATGAACTCGTTTCTGTTTCTTCCCTGCTCTCCCCCCCAGGCGCCGGAGCAGACCTCGAGTATGGACTTTTTCCAGAAACGAGAGGTAGAAATCTGTACTTTATCCGGAACCGGTGCACTTTTCCCCTCGGCCCCTCTCTCCTCCGCCTCCAAGATGGTAGGAAAGTTGTCGTTTCGGAGGGCAGAGAACGGCTCTGTGGTGTTATGCCGTCGCAGTGCCTGTAGTGGTGCTGTAGGAGACGGCTGCCTCTCCTAGTGCGGGCGGCAGCCCTGCCTTCTTGGCTGGAGAGTACATTCAGGGATTTCCCCTTAACGATCACCGACCCTGGGAGCACTTTTTAGTTTCCAAAATAAAAATATGATCCTCACCCCTCTTGTTCGACAGGGAAAGACTCTCGCTGAAGCCCGGGGGGGGAGCAGTATCAGCGAAGCTTCCTAGTCCACGGCCAGCGCCTCTCTGATCTGTCAGCCCAGCCGAGGGAAAAGGGGGTGGGGGGGAGGAGGAGGAGGGAGGAACCAAAAAGAAAAAAAAACCGGAAAAAAAAAAAAAAAAAAAAAAAAAAACAGCAGCTGAAAGGTAAGCAGAGGCGGCCCCAGGCCCGGCCCACATCCCCGGGCTCCCGTAGGGCGGCGGGCTGGGCCGCGCAGGCAGGGCGGGCGGCGAGCGCGCTTACGTGAGGCCGGGGATTCGCCGGCCCACGCCAGGCCGCGGGCGGAGAATGAAAGGGTGAGTGGGGCCGGCGCTGGGGTGGCGGGGGCCGGGGACCTGGGGGCCTAGGGGACGCCCGTAGGCAGCTCCGGCGGGGGGGTTCCGGCGACGGACTGAGCGCGGCGAGCGGCGCGGCCTGCGCGGGCCGGGCCCGGGGAGTGCTGCGGAAGGGGGGGGCTCCCTAGGCCTCGGGCCCCGCGGCGGCCGCGCCCTGCCCCCGTGCCACAGGCCTCCCGCGCCCCTGGGGTCCCCCGGGGCCTCGGGGCAGGCGGGCGGGCAGGCGGCGGGGCGGGCTGTATCCTGCGCCGGCCCCAGGCTCTCCCGCGGGGCGGAAGGCCGGGCGGCGGGGACTGGGACGGCGGGGCCTTGGAGTGGGGAGTGTGCGGCAGCCCCCCCTCACTCCCGTCCTGGGGCGTCGTGCAGACGGGGGCCCCCCGGATTCCGGTAACTGTTGGGTTTATTTATCCCCGGCCGCGGCACTCCGGGCGGCCTGGCCGGGGCGGGGCGGGCGGCCTGGCGGGCGTGGGGTGGAGGGGCGGCGAGGAGTCAGGTGCAGCCGCGGCCCGGAAAGTTTCCTTCTAGGCCCGAATTGGGGGCTGCCTCCTCTCCGGGGAGCCCCGGTCCTAGCGCCCGGGACCCCCGAGGGCGTGGGGGGAGAGCTCTCGGCTGGCGTGAAACTCTTCGCCAGTTCCTGTCCATTCAAGGTACTCCGCCCCTGCACCCCTCGCCCGCGCCCCACCCCACTCCCCGCGATCCCCCTTCGGGGCTGCCAACTCCAGCCCATTCCCCAAGAGCTCCCAGGCCCGGGGAGAAGCCTTCTCTTCCGGTTTGGAAAAGTTTTCAAGGGATTTTTTTCTTCCCCTTTAGCTTTATTAGTTAGTGACTGGGCTTTTGGGGGTGGGAAGGAACGAGGTAGATTCAGGTACTGTTTCTACAGCACGGTCTGTGCCCATCGGCCTCCCCCCGCTTTTTTTTTTTAATCTCGTACCCCACTTGTTCATTTATAACCCCCACCTTCTCTCCGGGACTCCTTTGGGTCCCCCAACTCCCCCTTTCTGGACAGCTCCGGCAGAAAGATAGTAAGTAGGGAGCAGAGAGCAAACTGTCAGGAAGAGAGAGGGCAGGACCAGGCAGGCTTCTGGAGTAAGTCCCCTGCCCCTAGTTGTAGGACTTTCCCCGCTTATTTGGTCACTGTCCGGTGAAAACCAACTCAGAAACTGAAGCCTCCTCGGTTGACAGACCTTGCGGAGCATTCATAATTGGGAGGAAGGAACTGGAGGGCAGGGCAGCTTTTTTTGAAGTAAGGTCTACCTGCAGTTTAAGGAGCAATGATAGATTCGTTCTGATAGCAACTATTTAGGTTTATGTGATATCCTTTGATGCCACTCTAGAATTAGAAACTTGGGGGGAGGGGGAGGAAACTAAAAGTTGTTATTGCAGCAGCTCAGGGGTCTGTGGAGGAGCCCTTCGAACTGAGTACAGCGTTTGGCTTTGGCCTACCCTGTAAATGAACTTGATTTTGATTCTGTTTTGGTGCCATCGGCTCTGAACCTTTTTTTCCATGCTTTTTCTTTCATGTAGTAAACTTAAATGTCCAAATCTAGTATTTCTTTCTCTTCAAGGATAGGCAGTTTCTGGAGGCTACAACTGATGGTTGTTTAATGTTGAAATTGCCATGTACCTGACCCTGCCACCCCCAGCCCCAGTGTGGGCTTGTGTGGAGAGTTGTTCCTTTTCACACTTCTTAGAGCTTGGGGTAGAGTGAGTGAGTGAGAGAGAGAGAGAGAGAGAGAGTTGTGTGTGTGTGATGTGTTTGCTCAAGCGACCTGCTTGGTTGCAGGTTGGAGATCGCACTCAGTCCACAGAGCAGTTAGTGAAAAGCTGCCTGTCAGTTGCAGAGCAACGGGGTAATCTGTGACTTGGTCAGTGCTGGCTTCTGTCAGGCATCACACTGAGGCTCCTTACATGATTCTTACTGAGAATCCTTTGCTTTTGTCTGGCTAAAATAAGGCTCTGTTTTCTCACAGTGTTAGATGATCAGCCATTAAGAAAGCCTTGATATTTGAAGATGGTATGGATTTGGTATCAAAATGCAAATTACATGTAATGATTGTTTTATCATTATTGATTAATTGAAATTGCTTATTGACTAGATCGTGTTTTCATGTATGTGTGTAGCAAAAACCATTATTTCTTTTATTACAAGTCCTTATTTTTATAGCAAACTGCATAGAAGAAGAGTCGTTCAGAGTCCCCTTTCCCAACATATTTTAAAAGTTAAAAGAAATCTTGCTGTTTTGTAATATGTTTAATGCTTATCATCACCTTCATGTTCTTAAGAGTTTCAAAAATTGTGTATGTATAAATACTGAAAGCTTTATGATTTTCTCCCATCCTGTCCCAAACATTTTAGTTACCTGTTGTAATATATTCGTGGGCTATTTTATTTCTGAAGAAATGCTAGATTTGATGTTTTAAAAGTCAATTTTATTTCAAACTAATAAAAGTCAGGGCCAGGGAACATACTGAATTAGTTTTAAATTAAAAGAGAATGTATTTTTGACTCTGAGTTGTTTTGTTTCAAAAGTAGATCTTCAGCTAGGCAGTGATGGGGCATGCCTTTAGTCCCAGCACTCAGGAGGCAGAGGCAGGTAGATCTCAGAGTTGGAGGCCAGCTTTGTCTACAGAGAGAGTTCCAGGACAGCAGGGCTACACAGAGAGACCCTGTCTCAAAAAAAGTAAATGTTTAAGTTATAAGTCTGAAATTGTCAACTTTTCTTTCTTCTGAAAGATTTTATGTAGAAATTTGTGTATCCCATCTCCATTGTTTTTTTTTTTTTTTCTTTCCAGAAAATTATATTGCTACTGTTTTTAACTTTTTATTTTATTTTTGTGTATGGGTGTTGTGTATGTGTGCAGGTATGTCTGTGTACCATGTGGGTGTTATGCTTGAGAAGGCCAGAAGAGGGTGTCAGGTCCCCCGGAAGCAGCATGGTTGTGAGCAGCCCTATGGGTGCTTGGAATGAACCCTGGGTCCTCTGACAGAGCAGCAAGTGGTCTCAATTGCTGAGTCTCAATTGCATTCAACTGCTGAGTCTCTTGTCTGGCACCCATTGCTGCTAATTTTAAAGGAAATTTTAGTTTAGAGAGACTTAAACAACCAGGAGTCTGAGCATTTAAACATATTAGTTCAACCAAACACTTGCATTCATCTTTCTCTAAGATCTTCTAGGCTTAGCTCTCAGGATCTAGATTTGGGACCTGCTCTAGCCATTTGCATCTGAAGACAGCTTCTCAAACCCTGTAACTTGTAAAGCAGTAGTAGGTGAGCCTGCCTGGGTGCCGCTTCTCACTGCACTAGTCTGAGTGTATCCCAGAGGCCTCTGTGTAAAGACTGACTTGAGACCATGCTTCTGGCCATTTTGAGATTGGGGAGAAACTTAAGTAAAAATGTTAGGCCGCCTGCATATCTTTCCCTGATTCAAGGTGACTGCTTGGTTCTAATTCTTTTGCACTGTGTGCTTTTTATCTGTTTATTTATTGGTTTGTTTGTTTGCTTGCCTGCTTGCTTATTTACTTAGGAGGCAGGATCTCACAGCTTATCCCTTAGATTAGGCTGGCCTTTGATTTGCTGTGATCTTCCCACTTCTGCCTTCTGAGTGTTGGACTTACATGTGTGCCACCATGCCCAGCTGTGATTTACTCTTAAAGCTAATTCTTAGCAGGGATGGCAGTGGATTTCTGTAAGCCAGGGCTAGAGAACTTGAGACCAGAGGACCTCAAGTTCAAGGCCAGCCTGGCAGTATGGTGTGACTCTGCTTGTCCACTCCCACCCCTATCCATCTCAGGAAAACCTACAACTTTTATTCATGAAATCTTTGTATTGGCCAGGTATACTTGGTTGGACTAGGCTTTGAGTTGGGCTCTGATCCCATTTCTTCTTAATCTTTGGTTTCTTTATCAGGACATAGAAATAAAATTCTTTGCTATAAGGATTAGTGATTCTGCTCGTCCACCTATGTTCTGTGATAACACCATCTAAGTAACTCCTTGTTTCTTTGCCCTTTTTCTTACTTAAAATAAATACTCATAGTATGTTTGGAGAATTGACCTATCCAGCCCACCCAGGATAATAACATTTCAGTGCCTTCCTATTTTTATCTGAGTGTGTGCCTACAGCGCAAATATAGCTTAGAAACCTGAATGAAGGTAGCAGGTGTGTTCTTTCAGATTAGTTAAAAGTTTGCACTGTTGTTAATTCTAGTGATAGGACACCTTATAATTAAAATTAATCTTTTAAAAATGTTATTATTTTTTATTTATGTACGTGTGTGCGTGTATCTGTGTATACCACAGCATGTATGTGGGGAGGGGTCAGAGGACAATTTGAAGGAGTCAGGTTTTCTGATTCTATCAGATGGGTCCCAGGAATTTAAAAACTCAGGTTGGCAGGATCGGCAGAAAGCGCTTTTAACCATGAGCCATATTGGCAGCCCCTAAAACTAATCTTACTATTCAAAATAAAAATTAATTTAAAGATTTCTTTTGCTTGGTATGGTGGCACACACCTTAATCCTAACACTCAGGAGGCATAGGCATGTGGATCTCTGTGAATTTGAAGCCAGTCTGGTCTACATAGAAAGTTCTAGAGCTCCATAGGGAGACCTTATTAAAATATTTATAACCTATACTTATGTCTCTAAATAATAATATTTATAATTTATCCTTAATTAATTTCTAATATGTTTCTAATAATATTAATATTTGAAAAGGCAGGCTGAGAGATGGCACAGTAGTACCCATATTGGGTGGCTCATAGCTTCCTCTAACTTTAGCTGCAGGCGATCTGATACCCTCCTGTGGATTCCCAGAGCACCAGCATTCACACATTCATCTACCCACACATAGATACATTCTTGCCCACATGATAAAAATAAGGCACGGGGGAGATGGCGCAGTGCTTAAGAGCGCATGCTGCTCTCCCAGAAGACCCAAGTTCTGTTCCCAATACCTGTGGTTATAGCCTGTGACTATAACTCTGGGTCCTGAATCAGATGCTGCTCTCAGGTACACAAACCCATACACAGACCCACTAATACTCCCATGAGTAGAAATAAAAATCTTTAAAACATTTAAAACTCACGTTGTTAATCTTAGCTTCAAGTTGGGACTCTCAGCCTGAGCTATGTGCAGAGTGAATTTAGGCCACAGTGAAACTTTTTATTTCTTTGACTTGGTCTTCATGTGTGAAGTAAGCACTGATCTCTCTGTCCCCTCGTGTAGAAACGATGCTCTGCACATTCAGAATAGTAAAGGCGCATTTGAGTTGAGTTTGCTTCTATGATTGTTTCTTTGATTTTGGTATCACCAGGTTTTGAACCTAGGGCCTTGTGAGTACTAGACAATCTCTACACTGAAGTGAATTTGAACTTGATGTCTTCTGTGACTGTGCCCCTTAAGAGTAAGTTCCTTTTGTGGCTTTGGGTAGGTGATGGCCACGGTAGGCTTACTCTGATGTGACCAGAGAAGGTGACAGGAGTCACCCAGGCTGGTTTTCATTCATTCCTTTAGCTAATGAGCTGCTTTGTGCCAGTTTCTGGTTTAAAGAGTCTCCAGCAGTAAGTGTGACCTTGAACCTCTGAACCTGCAGAGTGGAGATTTTAGCGTGCACAGTTACTAACGAGGTGCTGGGTATTGGCTGTTGAACGCAGGGCTTCGAGCTTGTAGGCAAGGCCTTGGCCAGCCAAAAAAGCTGTGTCTCTAGGTAGCTCCTGCTCCCATCAAGCAATTTCTAGACTGGTGGAGAAGAAAAATGAATATATTTACACCCTAGAAAAATAGGAATGGGTTAACCTAGAGAAAGAAATCTGTTTTTCTATTCATGCTGGGGAGGCCTTTTTGTGAGTGCTTTCTGTCAGGGCTTTCTGCCCTGAGCATATGGGAGGAGTTAGGTATTTCAGGAGGAGGGGCCTGCAGGTATGAATAAATGCCTAGGGACAATAGAGTTCTGTGTTGCAAATTGTGGTTCTGTGTGGTCTTGGACCAGGGGTGGGGGGTGGAGTAAATGGTGACTGGAAACTCAAGTTTCTCTGCTGGGGTAAGGAATATGGGCTTCTTTTAAATTTGCAAGTGACCCTGAAGGCCTTTTTGGCTGCACACATTACTTAAAATATGGTATTGTAGTGGTAGAAAGAATAGGCAGAATAAGGAGGGCAAGACTGGAATTCCAGTGAGGCAGCTCCCCAGAAGACAGCGAAGAGGGGGTTGAACTAGGGCTGAGGGCAGGAGGTGGCAGAGGCCACTTAGAAGGTACGCTGGCCTCAGGAGTGTGGCCCAGTGGAGCGCAGGTGGAGTGGAAGGCATCTCGGAGGCAGGGGAATGGAAGGTGGAGGTAGATTTGACTTAGTGAATCTCAGGAAATAAAAATGGATTTGTGTGCCTGGACAGGTTGTACATTAGTTTGAAATCTGGAGTCAGACTCAAGTTAAAAATCGTGATAAACTCCCTAGAAATGTTTTGTTTGACTTAGACTTTTTTGTGTGTATATAACTTAGTGCTTTTATAGATGAAACAGGTTGTAAAGTAACTTGGTCTTGAATGTTTAGAAATTTCTACTAGCTGCTGACCTGAAAATGTTAAATTTTGTGATAAATTTTAAATCCTGAAAACTCAGAAGATCTTGAAGTTAGGGCTGGATTTCAGTTTTTAAGTGTGTGTTGAGAAAGGCTCTCATGCAGTTCAGAGTGGCCTTGAACTTGTAGCCACCTTCCCACTCAGCTTGTTCTGTTTTTTTCTCTTTTATTTTTTATTTTTATTTCTTTGAGACAGTATCTTACACTAGTTTTAGTTGACCTGGAATTCACAACAATCCTCCTGCCTCAACCTCCTAGTGTTGAGATTACAGGTGTGAGCCACCACACCCTGGGAGGTCTGCTTTTTTTTTTTTTTTTTTTTTAATTCAGTAACTTGCTGAAGCTTGTTTGAGTTGGAGCTTTTGGAGAAGTGCAGTTAGCTGAAGTCTGCCTGTGGTCCACTTCTGCCCCACTGTAGGCCTCTCATCATGTGCCGCATAAGTAAAAGAAGCTTGGCCAGCACCGCAGTGTAAGTGTGGAGGCAAGGATGGCTCCCGACTGGGGCCAAGAGAGAGAAAGTGGTCCAGGGTGTCAGCCTCTCCAGCGAATTCAAGGAGAAGGCAACAGTGGATGGCTTCAGGAACAGAAGAGCCAGCAGTTTCAGATTCTTAGAACAAAAGGATCTGAGTTAGGCACAACTTAATTCTCCTTACTAATCTGTAGTGTAGGATTTCTGCAACAGCCATGATATGGGCAGGAGTTCAGTGAGCAGTTGTTGTAAAGAATTATTAACTGGAGCCGATGAATGTTTTAACCAAAGCAGGTGTGTGTGTGTATGTGTGTGTGTACGTGAGAGTTACTAGGGAATTACTAGGCTTTGCATGTGCTAGGGAAGAAGCAATCCTCATGCCCCAAACACTGTTCTGAGATATATATTGGGTTTGTATGTATGTGTATAAATACTTTTTTGAGACAGTCTGATTATGTAGCTCTGGCTATCCTAGTAGGCTGGCCTCAAACTCACAAGAGTTGTGCCTGCTTCTGCTTCTCAATTGCTGGGGCTGAAGGCATGCACCATCAAGCCTGGCTCTGCTAGTGTTTTCTTTCAGAAGAATATCAATACCTGAGGGCTCTTTACAAAGGTAGAAACATTTTTTAGATGTAGATTTTTAAGTGTGGATCACAGGAGAAACTTCTCGGTGCATCCTGTAACTCTAGACCCAAGGAAGTAGGAGAGCCTGAATTAGTGGAGAATTACACTGTACTATTCAGAAAACCACTAGCAGGGGGAAGAGGGCATTTTAGCCCTGCAGATTAGAGATGAAAATGATAATACTAATAAACTACTACTTACTGCTTCTAATACTAGGTAATGTTAAGTGATAACTATGTGCTGGGTACCATGCTAAACACGTGTTCTTGAAATACCTAATTTAATTCTGCTAAGCAACTCAATGAGGTACATACAATTATCTTCCCTTTACAGATGAGAAAATTGACCAGATTTGAGCCCTATCCCTGATTATTCCCAGAGGCAATGAGTGATCTCTCCGTGGCATAAACTGCCCTTAACCTTTCTAATAAATCAGGTAAGGCCATTTAATTAATTTAATTCATAATGTGATTTTATTTGTACGCTTGCCTTTTGAGGAGTCTTGGGCACATAACAGGTATTTGATGCGCATTTATTTTCTTTTTAAATTATTTTGGCTTGCACTTGCTTATGAGTTTACATTTTGGAGAGATAGGCAGTTTTCTCTCCCAGTCATATCAGTTGATATATTTTCTTCAGTTAAATTTTAGTACATTTTGCCATCCTGGAGTATTTCAGAGGAACAGAAACAGACTCAGCTGTTGGGAGTGTCTGTGGTGACTGCCCAGATTTTTGTTTATTTACATTTCAGACAGACTTCACTTTGTAGACCTGGTTGGCCTACAGTGTAGGCCAAGCTGTCCTTGAACTCTCAGAAATTCTTTAGCCTTTGCCTTCTGAGTGCTGGGAATAAAGGGTGTGACACCACATCTGGTACCTGAAGTGTAGTTTAAAGATGGGCTAAGTGGAACTGAAGAGGGGGCTCAGCGGTTAAGAGAACCACGATAGTGTTCAGTACTGATGGGGGGTGCCTCACACCTGCCTATAACTCCACCTACACCAGCTCCAATGCCTTTGGGACACCTGTTCTCACCTGTACATCCAAACATAAAAAACAAAACAAAACAAAAAAAGGATTGGAGGAGGGCTAATCCTAGGAAGGGCACTAGAGAGAAATGAAGGGAGTAGCTGGTCTAGTATCCTGGGCAGATGAAGCTGTCTACTCTGGTGAGAGCAGAGGGGCCTCGGTGAACAGAGCTGTAAGAGCCCACCCCAAGTATCTCACGTGTGGGTCATACTCCTCTAAGGGGAAAAGGTATGCCTTCTGCTATTACAGCCATCATAGCTACTGTTGAAGTGATGTGTCGTAAGTTAATTCTTGCCATGGAGTCTAACAGCATGAGAACTTCTGTAATAACATTTGAAATGAGGAAGTAGGGTCTCAAGCCTCACCAGCCGGCTAAGTGGGAGAAGGCACTTGCTGCTAAGCCTAATAAACTGAGTTCAGTTCCCAGAATCCACATGAAGGATGGAAAAAGAGAATTGATTCTACAGAACTGGTAGAATCTGGTATTCACAGTGAGCTTGTATACACACACACACACACACACACACACACACACACACACACACACACAGGAGGTGGGGACCTGGGAGGCAGGCAGGGAAGCATGCAGGCTGGCATGGTATCACACTGTAGTCCCAGCACTTGGGAAGTAGACATAGGAGGGTTAGAAGTTCAAGGTCATCCTAGCTACGTAGAGAATTCCAGGCCAGATTAGGCTATCTGTGACCCTGTCTTAAAAGCAAAAGAAAACAAGATAAAATTAGAAAATAGATAATAAAAAAGTGGCCTACGCCTTTACTTTCAGGAGGCAGAGGCAGGGCGATTTCTGTGAGTTCAAGGTCAGACTGGTCTACAGAGGAGCTCCAGGACAGCCAGGGCTACAGATAGTCTGTGTCTTTGTTTCTGTGTGTCTGTACTATGTGTCTGTGTGTTTTCTTGGGGATTGAGGTCAGGTGGTTAGGCCTGGCAGCCAACTCATTGTTTCTATTAAGGTGTATTTTACTACACAGAATTTTATTGTTATTTTTTAAGTGGAATCTCACTATATAGACCTACCTGGCCTAGAACTTGCTATGTAGACCAGACATTCCTCAAACTCACAGAGATCATCTGCCTCTGGGTTAAGCATGTTTGTATACTGCATTTTCTAAAGCTCTATCTGGCTTAACCATGGTAGTACACTTAAATCTGTGTTCCCCTCCTGTAAAGCCACCAAAGAAACCAAAAAGAAACTCCGTGTGTACTGACCACCACAGCATCAGAGCTGGGCTGTGTGAGTTAGTGGTCTGAAGTGTGACCATTCTCTTGATGAGAATGAGGTCACAATGAGACAGTGTCAGGTGTGATTTCCTCCTTAGGTGCAGCAAGGGGAACAACTCTGCACCAAGTAGGTGGTACAGCCTGAGAACAGAGCCAGCAGACCCCATGCTTGGAATGGCAGTCTGGTCTATGTGTTGGATTCTCAGACTGGTGGGGAAGGCTGGCCTTGGTTATAAACCACAGCTGTCCTGTTTTGCAAGGCATTCAAAATGGAGGAGAAACTGGCAGCAAGGAGCTGACAGCTGAATTTTTTTTGTCAATTGAAGAAAAATAAAGCCCAAGTTTCCTTTCCCCAACCTCGTCATGTGTGTGCTTGTGGGAACTAGCCAGCTAAACCTCAAGGGAAGAGTATTTGCGATGAACATTTCCAGAAGGAACAGAAATGTGAAAATTGTGATCAAATAGTTCCCTGGTAGAGGCGGAGGTGAGAGGTTGCTCTTGTGAAAATGGAGAAAAGATGGGATAAAAAGCTCAAGAAATAATGACAACAGGCCTGAAGGGTGAGCTGGTGGCTGAGAGAGAGTTCAGAATAAAGAAATATCTCATTGTACAAATGAAAGTTACTTTCTTCTTTGTTGTTTTTTCTTATTATTATTTTTCTTTTTTTTCTAGACAGGGTTTCTTTGTGTAGACCTGGCTGTCCTGGACTTGCCTTGTAGACCAACCTGGCCTTGAACTCATGTCAATATGCCTGCCTCAGCCTCTGCCTTCTGAGTGCTGGTGTGTGCCAGGCTTGACAGGGTCTGTCTGTGTGACTGTGGCTGTCTGGGAGCTCTAGACCAAGCTGGTCAGAAACTCATAGAGATCTGCCTGCCTCAGCCTCCCAAAGTACTAGGACTGAAGGTGTGGACCATGACACCTGGCTATGAAGGTCACTTTTAAGCAGTGGAAGATGTAGACAAACTGAAGAAAACCTAAGAAAGACAGAGAGCCAGTTATGGTGGCTCACCTCATAATCCTATTGCGTGGGAGGCTGAAGCAGGAGGGTTTGAGTGTGACGTGTGACACCAGTACGCTAGCCTACACAGTTTGAGGCCAGCCTGGAGAGAGGATGGTAGATGGGGACTGTATGTAGTAAGCATAATTGACTAATGGGTGTAAGTTATCAGTGGAATAAACAAGGTAGAGAAACTTAAAAAGAACCCCCCCGCCCCCACCCCCGAGTTAAGCTGGAGAGATGGCTCACTGGTTAAGAGCACTCATTGCTCTGGCAGAGGACCCAGGTTCAGTTCCCAGCACCCATACGTAACAGAAGTAAATCTAAAAGCATACATAGTTTTTTTTTTTTTTTAATCAGAAGATGATGGCTTTATTTATTTATTAATGTATAATTTTATTTTTTTATTAATTATGCTTTATTCACTTTGTATCCCCCTATAAGCCCCTCCCTCCTCCCTTGTCGATCCCACCCTCCCTCCCCCTTCTTCACGCATGCCCCTCCCCAAGTCCACTGATATGGGAGGTCCCCCTCTCCTTCCTTCTGATCTTAGTCTATTAGATCTCATCAAAATTGGCTGCATTGTCATCTTCTGTGGCCTGGTAAGGCTGCTCCCCCCTTAGGGGGAGGTGATCAAAGAACAGGCCAATCAGATTATGTTGAGGCAGTCCCTCTTCCCATCACTATGTAAGCCACTTGGACACTGAGCTGCCATGGGGCATACGTAGTTTTTTGACACAAGGTCTCACCCACCCTGTAGCATAGACTGGTTTTGACTCACAGCAACCTTCTGCATTTCCTGGTGCTGGAGTTACAGCTCTGCACTACCACACCTGGCTGGAAAGGTATTCAAAAGGAAGTGGGGTGTGGTGGCTCGGGCCTGTTTTCATTTCTCTGTGCTGTGTGCATGTAGGTGTGCACATATTGTGCGCATACACATACGTGAGAGAGTGCTCCATGTGCCCGTGTGGCCACAGAATGACTCCATGTCGGTCCTCACCTTCTGCCTGATTTGTTTTTGCTTGTTTGTTGTGTGTGTGTGTGTATTCTTCCCTGCTGTGTTTTCCAGGATAGGTGGCTTGAGAGCTTCCAGGGACTTTCCAGTGTCTGGCTCCAGTCTCCTGGGGAAAGTGCTGTGCTTACAGATGTGTGTTGCTGCATCTGGCTTTTTGTGGGTTTGGTGATTCAGACTCAGGTCTTTAGATGTGTGCAGCACGTGCTTTAAACACTGAGCCATTATCTTGGCCATGTAAATAACTTTTTCAGTGCTTACTTATATGTAAGATACATTTAAAAAATTGAAACAGAAATTAATTTATTGTGTGTATGTGTGTGCATCCACATGTGTGCATACATTTGCCACTGCACACGTGGATGCTGGCAGCTTGCTGGAATTCATTCTTTCCTGCGACTGTGTAGGTTCCAGGGATGGAACTCAGGGCCTTCGGCTTGGTGACTAGTATCTCTACCCACTGGCCATCTCACCGAGCCCCAACAGTAACTTTAAAAACAAAACAAAACAAAACAATAGATCTTCAACTAGACTTAAATTAATTTCAGAGATCCAGTTATGGATGAGTGAATGAGTGGCGCAGAATGTGGACATTCAAATCACTCATAGATCTGCTTTCACATGTGTCCTGTCTTAAGTACCCAGACCTTTAGGGCAGGGAGAATTTTGTTTTGAGACAGCATCTCCTGTATGCCAGGCTAGCCTGGAACTGACTTTTGGCCGAGGATGACCTTGAATTTCTGATCCTGCCTCTGCCTTGTGAGTGCTGAGACTGGCATTACAGGTGTGTACCAGCAGCACATCTGGTTCATGCATTCTGGGGATGGATCCCAAGGCTTTGTGCAATCGGCAAGACCTCTGCCCCTCAACCTAAGCCTGATTGATTTATTCTCCTCCCCACCTTGCTCTGCCTTCTTCTGGCCAACCTGGGCTGAATCCTCATTCTAGAGGCAACAAAACACACTTTAGTTCAATTCTTCTTTCTTTTGCCCTAATAAGGTGAAAAGAGAAAGCTCTTATTTTTGGTCTGCATTTGTGCATGGTTAGGTCTGTTAGTGGATTTTATTTCACTAACAGTTTGGCTTTTCTTTTGTTTTTATGAAGTCTGAGACCCTGACTCTGCAAAGGTTAATTTCACTGCTCCCGACTGCGGTGCTATATGATCTGCCACTGAGCCCTCTGTGTAGCGGACGCTCTTTCTCCAGGAGCACTGGCAGGTGGAAGACAGAGTTAACATTTGTGAATAACTTGTGTTACTCCAGAGCTTCCCTCGCGGTAGGCATGGTCCTTAGCTCTGTCCAAGTGTTGCCTGCCACGGAGCCTTAGAACCTAGTGATGATGTAATCACTGTTATCCCTGTTCTGTGATGACAAGTCTGAGATTCTGAGTTGACTTTTGTTCAAGATGACACAGTGAGTGGCATCCTCTAGTACAGACGTTTGTGTGTTACCTTGTTCATTGGCATGAGGAGTTTCTGTGCAGTCCCTCCCTCAATCTGGTCTTCCTTCCCTCTTCCAGCGTGGTATTTTTAGTGCTGGGGATTGAACTCTGACCTTGCACATACTGAGCGTCTACCACGCTGTGCTGTACTGGCAGCAGCAGGCTTTGTTTGTTTCTTTTTTCTTTTGAGACAGGATCTCATGACCTTGAACTTCTAATCCTCCAGAGGGCTAGGAGTTTAGGCATAGGCCTGGGGGTTGCAAGCATGTCTCACCATGCTCGTCGATGTAGTGCTGGGGAATAAACCCTGGGTCCTGCATGTGCTAAGCCATCACTCTGCACCTGAGCTGCATCTTCAGCCCCATCTTCAAGGTCTTCAAGGAAGGGTTTTTTCTTGGCTTTTTCAAAAACTTAGATCTAAGCTGTCACTCACCATCCGGATGACATTTGGAGATGCTTAGAGTCTGTCAGTTCACTGAGACTTAAGACTTCATAAACCAGGTTCAGCTTTCTGTTATAGACTGCAGTGTTATAAGTGCTACATTTGGTCTTTTTGTGTATACTAGTGTAGCAGATACTATATAAGGTCTCTTCATTTTCTCAGGGAATCTTGGGTCAGAAGATCCAAACCATGATTAGTACTTGTATTTGACGACTAGGGGCACTGAATTGAATGATGTAAAGGTGGCTGACTAACTAATGCTTGGTGTCATGGAGTTCAGGGTGGGATGGCATTGGGTGTGGCAGACATGTTTGTGTGTGTGTTCTCACATGAGTGCTCTGGTGTGGGGGGGTCAGAGGAGCACTTTTAGGGGTTGGGTCTCCTCCTACCTTGTGGGTTCTTAGGATTGAACTCAGATTATCTGGCTTGGGCATACCTTTCATCACTGAATCATCTTGCCTGCCCAGAAGTAATACCTTTTAAAAGCTGAATTTGTTCTATTTTATGTACATATACATGTATGAATGTATATATTTTATTTTAATTTTTTCTTTTGGGTATATGTGTTGTGTGTGAGTATATATACATTATGCATACAAACGTTCCTCTCTGAGTGTGTGTGTGTGTGTGTGTTTAGGAGCTCATGTTTATATAAGTGTACAAGCTTAAAGCAGATGTCAGGAATCAGTTGATTTCCACCTTGTATACTGAGGCAGGCTCTCTGAGTTGAACCACAGCCTTACCACTGCTAGACTCACTAGCCAGTTTGCCTGGGGATGCCCTGTGTCTGCCATCCAGACATCGGAGTCATAGGTGGGTTATCACATCCACCTGGCATTTAAATGGGTTCTGGATATCTGAACTCCAGTCCTCCTGCTTTGTAGCAAGTGCTTTATCCACTGAGTGAAATCCCAACCCATATCTTTTTTCAAATGAATCTAGGTTGGCCTTGAACTCCTGTTCTTCTGGCTCTACTCCACAAGAGCAGATGGAATACTGTCATGCCTGACTTAAAATTTTTATTTATTGGGGCTGGAGAGATGGCTTGGTGGTTAAGAGCATTGACTACTCTTCCAGAGGACTTGGGTTCAATTCACAGCACCCACTGGCAGCTCACAACTGTCTGTAACTCATGTTCCAGGGGATCTGACACCCTCATATAGACATTCATGCAGTCAAACACCAACTGTACATACAATAAAAATAAATAAAAAATTTTATTTATTTGCCAGCCATGGTGGTACATACCTTTGATCTCAGCACTCAGGAGGCAGAGTCAAGCAGATCTCTGTGAGTTTGAGGCCAGCCTGGTCTATAGAGTGAGTCTAGGACCGCCAGGGATGCACAGAGAAACCCTGTCTTGAAGAAATAACAAAAAATTATTTTTGTCATTGTCTGTGTATGTGATATGTATGCAGGCATGCATGCTACAGCATGTATGTATGTTTGTGATATGTGTCGGCATACATGTTATACCATGTATGTGTGTAATATGTGTGCGAGCATGCATACCACAGCATGTATGTGGAGGCCAGAACAACTGGTGGGAGTCAATTCCCTTTTTCAACTTTTCTGTGGGTTGCAAGGATGGAGCTTAGGCAGCCAGGCTTGTGCAATGGGCACTTTACCCGCTGAGCCATCTCACTGCCTGCCTCTTCATCCTCTACCGTTATTTTCATTACACTTATTTATTTTATGAGTGTGCATGCAAACACATACATGCCATGGACATGTCTGGAGATTAGAAGACAACTTGCAGGAGTCAGTTCTCCGCTTTAACTGTGTTGGTCTGGAGGATTGAATTCAGGTCATCAAGTTTGGCAGCAATGGCCTTTAAATATTCTCTTTCTGTGTACCCCTAGATGGCATGGCTAGAACTCTATAGAACAGGCTGGCCTGTTATCCTTCTGCTTCACCTTCCCAAATGCTGGGATTTTAGGTATATATACCATAACAACTCTGTCTTGTATGTCACAGAAACAGTTTTTATCAAATTGCTAAATATTTTGTCGATGTAATGGAAAATGTGGTGCTTTGTAAACACTACTTTTGAAGTTTTTATTTGTTCTGTGTCTATGGGTATTTTGACTACATGTGTGTCTGTATAGCACATGAGTGTCTAGTGCCCTCGGAGGCCTTGGGACTGGAGTTACAAATATTGTGAGCCGTCCTGTGGGTTCTGGGATTGAACCCAGGCTCTCCGGAAAAACAGTTAGCACTCTTTAACTGCTGAGCCATCTCTCCAGCTCCCATTCTCCCCTCCCCCTCACTTTAAGACGGTCTTATGTGGCCCAGGATGCCTCAATCTTCCTGTGTAGCTGAGGATGACCTGGAACTCCTGGTCTTTCTGCCACCTCTCAAGTGCTGGGGTTACAGGTATAGACCCTCGTGCAGGTTGCTTGGAAGGAAAGGCTCTAGCTGTGAGCCATTTTGAGCTAGTCACAGAGTGAATATGATTTGGATCAATTTTGGAGGGTGTGATAACATAAAGCCCCTTTTTCCTGTCAGAGCTCATCCTTGGGATATTATTGTTGACAGTTCATCCCATTAGGAAGGGGGCATGGAGCTGCTTTACGTTCTGGGTGAGTTGCCTGTGTTTCTGTGTTAATGAGGCCTTTGATGTTTTGTAGACAATCTGCTTCCTCTTGATTGAGCAGCATTCCAAACTGTGGTACCCCTGGGCTCTCTTCACATTGCTGTGGTGCAGAAGATTTAAAATCAGGTATGGCTGAGAGGCCACAAGTCCCTCAGTGAAATTCTCGACTTGAGTCTGCCTTACACTCTCTGATTTGTTTATCATTTGGGTTTCTTTTTGTGGTGGCCTTTTAGCTGATGTTCACAAGGAATAGAGTCACGTGATGTATGAAGGGAAACATATACACTTCTCTGAGGTTGACAATAAGCCCTTGTGCTCATATAGCCCCAAACTGTGCAAGCAGCGGCGACTCAACGGCTACGCTTTCTGTATCAGACACGTTCTGGAAGACAAGACTGCCCCCTTCAAGCAATGTGAATATGTGGCCAAGTATAACAGCCAGCGCTGCACCAACCCCATTCCCAAATCAGAGGATCGTAGGTAAGAAGATCACGGAACCACAGTTGGGTCATGAGTTGTCTGGGAATTTTGCCTTGTCAATTCTCTTGTCAATTTCTCTAATATACTGTTTCTTTTCAGTGTGTTAAATTTCAGTGTTGGGTCCTGGGGCAGTCCAAAGAAACTTTGGAGTACTGTGGTTAAGAAAGAGTGGTACATTTTAGGGGGTGAGAGTGGTTAAATGGAGTGGTACATTTTAGGAGGCATTTGAAAATATGTTTGAATATTTTCTTCTTTTATTAATTTCTTAGACGTCTAGACTTTCTTGGGTTTTTTGAGCAGGGTTTCCCTTTGTAACCCTGACTGTCCTGGAACTCACTCTGTAGACCAGGCTGGCCTTGAACTCAGAGGTCCACCTGCCTCTGCCTCCCAAGTACTGGAAAGGTATGCATCACTGCCTCTCTGCTGCATTGTACTATTTTTAAGAAATGGGTTGTAAATGGCTGTCTCTTAGGTGTTCAGGAAAAATTCTTTCACATACAGTCTCTTCATGCTTCTTTCAATTTTCTAGAGCACAGTGATCATCTTGAGCATAGTTTTAGGTATTATGTTAGGGTAGAAAATTTGAACAACTTCTATTTTAGCACACAGCCTCTCCATGTTTGTTTTTCCGGTTCTTTAAAGTAAGCATACGTCAGCCTGCATAAACTGGACAAAAAACTCTATTTTTCAAGTAGTTTTCATTTTTAGTGTGAAATGAATGATTTCTGTAGGTAGAGAGCCTACCAGAATGAGCACACCGACATGATTTGGGGGTTCTCTTTTAGAATTTCTGGTGTGCACATGTGGCTCAGATCACAATGCCTGAAAGTCTGAAGCAGATGCTTAGCTGAACAAGGAGAAGAAGTCAACCCTGGTGTGAAAGGGACCTTGGCATTAAACACTTGGAGGCTGTCTCTTGGGGCTGAGGGGTAATCCCTTTCCCCTGTCTCTAATGCAGATCACTTTGCTTGGGCCACTTTGCTGCATCACTGTGTTGTGTTCACTTTAGGTTTTAAAAAACCCCCCTCCCCCCGGCTTTCTTTTTATTTGAGCCAAAGCAGGTATTATCTTATTAGCGAGACCCAGAGAGTCCTGACTTCTTTAAAGTATTGGTTTTCTGAAACACTTGTTTTTCCTGTCATTGATGTTTTTTCTTCTCAGAACAGGAAGGGAAAGGGGCTTTGTGTTCCTATAGTGAGAGAAGCACTAAGTGTACATTTTATTTCAAAATTGTCCCATGACTGTATAACTGCAAAAGATTTCTGTTGTTGGTAATGCTATTTGCAAATAGGTTAAATTAGAATCAGAAAGAAAATACTCTGTTATTCCAAGAAATCCAGGTTGAATTCATGCAATAAGTTTAAATCTCTATATAAATATTGCTAGTTATATCATCATTTAGAAAGATTAATAGTCATTTGAAAATAAGCATTCATTTCTGTTAATACTCTTTGAACACTGGAAGAATTTGAGTTGATCTTATTTACTGTCCTGGAAAACAACAAACTTTAGTTGACAGAGTTAGCCAGGCATGTTAGTTCATTGCTCTAGTCCCAATACTCAGGAGGGTAAAGCAGGGGATTGCTGAAAGTTCAAAGGCTAGCCTGGACTATTTAATAAAGCCTTTTGTTGTTGCTTGTTTTGGTTTTGTTTGGAATTTTTTGATTTCTAGCTCCAAGAGATTCAGCATTTTCTCCTGGCCTTGTTGGGTGCTTGTACATGTAACATATACACATAGATGCACACACATAGGAAATTAAAATAAATAAATTAAGTCAAACTTTTGCTCATTTACATGTGAGAAGCCCTGGCTGGTAAATGAAGCTCTTATATGGGTAATGCAGCACGTGCTAATCTGCACACACAGCCTTTCCTCACGCCAGCCGCTGGGTTTACACTATCACAGCCAGAAGTCTGTATTCTTCAGGCCCTCGTTCTAGAGGCTGCTGGGATGGCTGTGCTGGTAAAGGTGCTGAAAGCCTGGGCTCTGTCCCTGGGAAATCACAATGTAGAAGAAGAAAACCAACTCCCCAAAGTTGACTTCTGACTCTACATGTGTGCTACGGCATGCATATGCACGCATGCGCACACTCACAGATACACAGACACACAAGATGGCATGAGCACTTGAGCTGCCCCCTTTTTTTGTTTGTTTGTTTGTTTGTTTGTGTTTTATTTTTTGAGACAGGGTTTCTCTGTGTAGCCTTGGCTGTCCTGGACTCACTTTGTAGACCAGGCTGGCCTCAAAACTCACAGAGATCCGCCTGCCTCTGCCTCTCCCAGTGCTGAGATTTCAGGGCGTGGTTGCCCTGCCGAGCTGCTTCTCTTATAGAGGGAAAATTCTCTCTAACTGAACAAGAATGTTTACTTAGTTCTGCACAGCATTTAAAATAAATATACACATACAGATTTGCCCCTCCGTCTGGGGGAGTGGTGGTGATGGTGATTGGTTGATTAACTATTTGTGAGCTGCCCAGCGTTGGTGTTGGGATCCAAACTCTGGTCCTCATGATTGAGTAGTAAGCACTCTTAGCAGCGGAGCCATCTTGCCAGCCTTGACTTCTAACTTCAAATACAAAATTCTGCCTTACTGTTCTTTGTTAAGAAGGTAATCTCTTCATCAGATGCTGAAAACCATTTTTTTTTTTTTTTTGACACTGGATATTGAACCCAGGCCCTTGCTGTACCAATGAGCTATCCTCCTAACCCTTTTTTAATTTGCGATAAAATCAATGCTATATAGCTCAGGCTGCTATCAAACTTGTCCTCCTCCTGCCTTGGTATTCTGAGTGGCTGGAATTGTGAGTGTGCCACTATGTGCGACTGCTCTGTTTTTCTCTTCGATTTTTGTGGGCTTTTTATTTGATTTTGGTTTTTGGTATAAAGGAGGTTTATTGTGGGAAAGAGGGGGGTTGGAGAAGGGATATAGTGAATGGCTCATGAGAGGAGAGAGAGAGAGAGAGAGGGGGCAAGGAGGGAGAAAAAGAGGGTACCCAGGACAAAGACAGAGAAGGATGGGGAGAGAGGAAGAACAGAGAGATGGATCCAATTGTTGTGTTTCGATCCTGTGTTTCAGGTGGCCCAGGTTGGCTTGAACTCATGATCCTCTTGCCTCTACCTCTCAAGTGCGGGGATTAAAGGCTGCTGCACCATACCCAGTATGGTGTTTCTGCTTCTTCTTAACTTCTTAGTTGATAGTTTTTCCTAGCTAACACCATCTTCCTTATTGCTCTCGGCCTCAGACTCTTGTTTAGGACATATGTGCAGTCTGGCTGGGAACCGCCCGGTGTGCTCAGTACTATGTGGAGATAACTTGCTGACTGTGGTGGGTTGCATCTTCAGGTAGTTTGGGGAAGCACTGACAGACGGTACATCTCCCTTGGAACTTCATAATGCATGTTTTTAGACATAATGCTTTGAGAAGTTTTTCAGCAGAAACAAGCAACAACAAAATCATTATGCAATTTTGGTTAAGCCGTAATTTTCCAAATTGACTTAAGTGTGGAGTACTGTTTTGATGGCCCACTTGTTGGCATGCTTTGGGAACTGTGTGACGAATATGGATTGGAGCATATTCTGTTCACAGACCCTCGACAGATTTTCATATGGTTAATTGTCATAACAGGTATTTATTTTCTCAATATATACAGGGCCTTTATCGTTCGTGGTATTTGAGTTACAAAAGTAGCCTGCCCATTATTGAAGATTAACCAGGGCCATCATGAGCTTTGATTTTAGTTCCTATCTCAGCTTGGTCACTTCTTACTTAGAAAGTGGTTGGGCCAATTAATTTTTGTAAGTGTAGTGTAGTTATCTGAATAAGGGACATTATTTCAGTGCCTGCTTCAGCTTAGTGCTGGAAGACTCAGTCCATGTTCTTATGTCTCACCTTAGTGCTGGAAGACTCAGTCCATGTTTTTACGTCTCTGCCTGTTGAGAAGCTCATCCACTAACCACGTTTACTTCCCGCCCTCTGTCTTTGTGTGTTGTATGTGTAGTGTGGTGTGTTTTGAGTGTATGTGGCTCATGGCCCATGTCAGGGTTATAGTATAAGATCTTGGTGAAACTCCAGGAACTGTAGTGGTATTGGAATATAATGCTTTATTCCATAAGAGACTTTTAAGTGATCTCCAGACTTTGATGAGTTACTTTGTTTGTTGTAATAGAGAAGAAAGCTGTTGAGAGACTCTGGCCAAGTGGCTTTCCTGGCCACTCACCAGTGGATACACCTACTTTTTCTGTTGACCTCTGCACTTGAGTGGTTTAATATGTGCCTTATAATTATATAGACCTCAGTTGGGGATAGTTTGAGTAATGACAATTGCTTTTTTACATTTTATTTTTGGAGATACGGTCTTAGTGCAGGTCAGTCTTGAACTTTTGATCCTCCTGCCTAACTGTCCCAAGTGTTGGCATTATAAACTTGTGCTACCATATTTTCAGCAGGCTGTAACTTTTTGTTTTCCCTGTGTTGCCTGGCTGCTCTGGAACTCACTCTGCCGTGTCGACCAGGCTGGCCTTGAACTCAGAGATCGCCTGCCTCTGTCTCCTGAGTGTTGGGTGTAATGTCATGTACCACCACTGCCTGGCTGGCTGTAACTTTTTTGTTAGGGTGATTGAAGATAGTCTTCAAGCTAGCTTTGAACTTCTGATCCTCCTGCTTCCACCTCTTAAGTGCCAGGATTACAGGCCTGTGCTACCACACCTGGCCTTAGATATCTGATTTTTAGTAGATTTGGCATCACATTTTGTACTATGTGCTTTTATCTTCTTCTTTATATATGTGTGAAGACGCTTTCCCATGTTTGTGCATTTCTGCAGGTACTGCAACAGCCACTTGCAGGTACTTGGCTTTATCCCGAAAAAAGAGAGGAAGAAAAAGAATGATCCGGTAGATGAGGTGAAGGTGAGGCACCAGATGGATGCCATGGCATTTAGCCTGACAGTGCCCACCTTGGCCTTAAAGATGCCCAATGGACTGGATAGCATGTCCCTCTCGCCACCTGGGGCAAGGGTTCCTCTCCACTATCTGGAAACTGAGTTGGAAGACCCCTTTGCTTTCAACGAGGAAGATGATGACCTAAAGAAAGGGGCAACTGTGAGAAAGAAGTTGCAGAGCAAGTTGGCTCAGAACCGGCAGCGCCAGCGAGAGACAGAGATTTTAAAAGTTCGGCAAGAGCACTTTAGTACCCCTCCCGCGCCTTCTCAGCAGCACGCCCACCTGTCACCTCTATCCACTTCTTTAAAACCTCCAGCGCCACCACAGGGTTTAGTCTGCAAGTCACCTCAACCTCAGAACACCAGCCTACCAATGCAGGGAGTGGCCCCCACCACATACTCTATAGCACAAACGAGGCAGTCCTCTCACAAGAGGCCTCTGCCCCTCCTTCCCTCCAGCCGGGCTCCTGTCTCAGATGCCCTCAGGACTGACCGCGTCCTTATGAAAGCCACCGCCTTCTCTCCACACTTCTCTTGTATAAGCCGACTGCAGAGACTGGTGAAACTGTGTACCCAAAAGCATCAGTTGGACGCAGACCTGTTTCCTCACTTAGGTGAGTTGGCCTCTCTTTTGCTGTATCTAATTGCTACCATGAAGTGTGTCTGTCACAACTGTTGTATATTTCAGCAGACCACCCATAGTAAACATGTTTCTGGTTGGGAGATAGTTGGTTAAACAGACACAGGTCTGAATTGGCCATTTAGAATTTCTGCTATAGCCTTTGAAAGTTAAGTTCTTAAAATCTTAAAAGTTATTCTTTGACAATTTCAGTTGTGCATAAATATATTTTCATTATATTTAATTCTCCCATTCCCTCTCTTGTTCCTCTTTTCTAGTGAACCCTTTTCTTTTGAACTAGTCCTTTTTCTACTTTGTTTTTGTTTTGTTGGTAATGCACAAAGTTAATTAGCTTTGCTTTCATTAATGGTTATAGCAGTATAGAAAAAAGATGGTTGTGCTTGCTTGTACCCTCTGTGAGATAAGTATCTGTGTGTTCATTGGAGTCCCTGGTGTCTTAGAGAAGGCCTTGCTATGTTGCATAGGCTGGCTGGTTCTTGGTTCAAGGGATGCTCTCCTCTCAGCCTCATTGTAGTTCTTAGACTACATGCAGTGTAGATACTACATTACGTTCTCACTGTGATAGTGTAGTTACTATCTGCCCATAGTTTTTTCTTTTAGATTTGGTGAATAAGCCAGGTACCGCCCCACATGACTGTTCTCCCATCACTTGGGAGGCAGAGGCAGGAAGGTTGTTCCAAGTTCGAGGCCAGCCTGACCTACATAGTGAGTTCCAGGACAGCCAGGGTTTTGTAGTGAAACCTCCAACTCCCAAAACATCATTAAGATCATTAAGGAATTCTCATAATAGTTCATGTTCATTATTGACAAATAAGAATATACAAACAAAAGTTCCTATTTTTTAATTTAATGGTGTGTGTGTGTGGTGTGTGTGTGTGTGTGTGTGTGTGTGTGTGTATGTGTGTGTGTGTTGTAAGCATTAGTATATGTGAGGTTAGAAGCATGGCTTTCAGGAGTTCTCTCCTTCCATCATGGGATCTGGGGATTGAATTCAAGCCAGGTTTTATGATATATGCTTTTACCAATTAATTTTTTATTTTTATTTTTGGTGGGGGTGGGGGCCACTTTGAGACAGAATTTCTGTGTAGCCCTAGCTGTCCTGGCACTTGCTTCATAGACTCGACTGGCCTCTAACTCAGAGATCCTCCTTCCGCTGTCTCCCAAGTACTGTGATTAAAGGTGTGCTCCTTCACCTCCTGTTGCTAGAACACACACACACATATATAATTTATTTCATTTCACTTTTTAGTTCATCTGTATATGTGTGTTTGTATGTAGGTTTGTTCACACTTGAGTTCAGGGGCCCACAGAGTCCAGAAGGGGATGATGTTAGAGCCCCTGGAGCTGGAGTTACATGGCTGCTGGGAGCTGAACTTGGATCTTCTGTAAGAGCAGTCTGTGTTCTTAACTGTTGGGCCATCGCTTCAGCCCCTAAAACATACTTTTGAATGTGTTGTGAGCTAAAATTCTACGTACAGGAAGAATTCCTTATTTGCTTGATATGGTAGCAGTAGAAATGCAAGTAAAGGATAAGACTAGCAGAAAAAATAAGAGGGGTCAACGGACCAGTGAAAAACATTAATTCCTGTGACAGGTGGGGAAATACAACAGTGAATTACCAGATTGGCAAAAATCCTTTTGGTGAGCATATACTTACCCAGCATAGTCATATAGTCACCAGCATAGTCATTGCTGGTGACTGCTGTGACTATTAAGTAATTAAAAATATGTATTTTGTGGCTTCTGACTCACACCTGGAACCCAGCACTTGGACGGCTGAGACAAGAGGACTAATTTGAAGTTGAGGCCACTCTGGGCAATAGAGTGAGATCCTCTTTCACAAAAACAGAACAGGGAGCTAGAGAGATGGCTCAGCAGTTAAGAACACTGGCCTCTCTTCTTGAGTACCCTAGTTTGGGAGACTCACAGTCATCTACAACTTTGGCTCAAAAGGATCTGCATCCCTCTTCTGGCCTCCAAGAGCACCTACAGAGATGTGCCATATTCTTACATATACATATGCATTGAACATGTTTTCCTTTTTAAATAAAATTGTACAGAAAGAATCTGAGTTTGATGCAGTGCATGGATGGTGGCTCACAGTCATCTGGAGCTGTAGTCTAGTTACAGAGGATCTCTTTCTTGACCTCCATGGGCACCAGGAATGTACATATATGCATATGCATACGCACCGCACATAAAATTGTAAAATAAAACCCCACAAAGCTATGTACACACAAATACATACATAATATTTGTGCTGTTATATAGATATGTAGTTATCAAGTTCACTTTTGGGATTCCATCCTAGCCCTAACTATCGAAATGTCAGAAGATATGTGCAGGGTGTTTACACTGCCTACAGAAACAACAGTCTGATAATATGGTGACTAACCGTTGGGAATCGTGAATGAGTTACATGCATATGTACTTCATACGTTCTTATACAACTGTTATAGAGAGTGACTGAGACCTGACTGAGGAGAAGAAAATCAAGAGGAATTATGTGATCCCATTTTGTAAAAACTAAGTAAACAAAAGGAACTAAGCGAGAGCGTCGGTATAGCCATTGGTTATGTATATGGGTAGAGATGTTTGCCTGATTGATATAAGTATGGTGAAGTACACACATTCCCACTTGTGGACATTTCCTGCCCATGGAGAATGGGACAGGGTCGGGGGGGGGGGAGAGGGCTGTATTTTACTGTAAATGAGAGTGGTGAGTTTTCTTTTATGCCTCTAAATTATTTCATCTGTTATTAAATTATCTGAATAAAACTTAGGGATTATAGTAAGCAAAAATAATAACATATTTCCAAACCTATTAAAAACCCATTTATTATGACCTTGGTAAATTCTTGAAAGTAGGTTAAATTGAGTTCCTATTACACTTATTCATAACCTCTTTAAAAATCTTACATAATAATGTATTTTCAAGTTAATAATTTTTTCATATATAGCATAATTTGTCATGGCTGAATTTAAATTATTTCCAGTTTATATTACTTTAAACTCTGTAGATACATGAGTTTGAGTAGTTACTGTCGCATCTTTAATTTTTTTTCTTAAACTATATAAAAGTAGAATTACTTGGATGATGTGGAGAAAGGGGACCAGACCATATGCTGTGGTGTGTATGTGATGGGAAGGGGACGCTTGAGTGGCGTTAGTTCTCTCCCACCCTCACTTGGTCTCAGGCTGGTGCAACAAATGTGATTAACCTCTGAGCCATCTCACTAGCCGCTTTTCTTTCTCTGTGTGTATATGTATGCACATGTACACGCAAGTACATACACATGAGTGTGGAAGCCGGGTCTGTATTGGGTGGCTTCCTCCAATGCTCTCTACTCTATCATTTCCCCCACACACACTCAGTGAGAACAATTAAAAAAGAGAAAACAAATGCTATTGAGGGTTGTGGATGTAGCTTATTTGGAAGATGCTCGTCTAGCATTCGTGAGACTCTGGGTGTGATCCCTCGTACTGCAGAAACCTGGCATAGGGCATGCCTGTAATCCCGATACTTGGGAGGTGGAGACAGGAGAATCAGGAGTTTAAGGTCATCTTTTATTACATAGTGAGTTCACGGCCAGCCTAGGCTCATGAGTGTTTGTCTCAAAACTCAGATAATCTCAGCTAAACTAAACACAGTGAAACAGAAGCACTTTATCCAAGTTGCAGCTCAAGCAGTCCTGCCTCATACTGCAGGGGAGCTGCATGGGCGCGTCATGTTAGTCATGCAGTATGCCAGACAGACCTCGGAGTGGAGATGTAACAAAGCAAATCATTTTTGACAGATGAGAATACCTGTAAGTAAAACTTCCTGCCTGTTTACCTACACTCCTGCCTTTCTGTCTTTCTAACTCCCAAGAGGCACCTCGCTGTGTTGATTCATGGTGAGGAAGCAGCGGTCGCCCGCCTTGCACTCATTCTATTGCTGGCAGTCACTCAGGTGTAAGTACAAGCAGTGTCTTGGTCAGATTTTAAAAGCAGTGTTGGCATGGCGGAAATTCCTGAGAAATTTTTAGAGACTCTAGGATTTACAGACAATATTTAATAATATAGCTGAATGTTTATGTTTTATTTACCGTGCAATATTTACTTTGCATTTATTTATTTGCCTTTTTATTCGTTTTTATTGAAGCTTTTACTGATAGCTAGAGATGGTTATACATAGTTCATATTTTTCTAAAGCCTCCCCACCTCACTGACTTGTTTTCAAATATCTGTAAAACTAATTTTCTTGGTGTACATTTAGTGTGTGTGTGTGTGTGTGTGTGTGTGTGTGTGTGTAGTGCACATATAGAGGTCAGAGTATGGTTTGAAGAGTTGTTTCTTTTTATCTATGTTTGTTCTGGGGATTGAACTCAGGCTATCAGTCTTGACCACAAACACCCTTACTTCTTAGCTGTCTTGCCCGCTCCTGATTGCTTGATTGTTGCTGTGTAGACTCTTTTTGTCCTTGAATTCAGTGTTCTTCCTCAGCCTTCTGAGTGCCGTGCTTGCTTTATGAGGTGCCATAAGCTACTATGCCTGACTTTCTTCATTTTTTGAACAGAGTGAAGTTTACCAAAAAAAGTGTTTAATTTTTTTCTTTTTCTATTTTTAAGTCCAAGCATATTAGAGCTTTAAGGCCCTTTGGAGAAGGCAGAGATTGTAATGCACTCTGGCCACCATTCATAATCTACATTCAAGTCAGTGAAGAGCACTTTAAGAAAAAGCCAGCCTGTGATACACTTTTCTGGCCTGTCTCAGCTGGGTCTATCAGTCAGTTAGGCTAGAACAGAAGATAATGAGCTTGACTGACAGTTTCACAGCCCGAGAAATGCATCCGTCTTTATGTTGCCCAGGCAACTTCTGCTGAGTGACTCTTTTGCACTTTTTCGTGCCTGAACATATAAGTTACTTTTCTTCCACATCCCTTTATTTTCTTCCAACAGAGTCTCTGACTGGGTAGCCCTGGCTGGCTTGGAGCTCAATATGTAGATCAGGCTGGCCTTATGCCCACAGATTCATCTGCCTCTGCCTCCAACTCTTCCTTCCAAACCTGGATGAAAGGCACGGACCATCATGTTTGTCTTTTCTTACTTTTTTTTCTGTTTTGCTTGTTTGTTTGTTTGTTTTGAGTCAGGGGCTCCTAAATCTCAGGCTGGCCTAGAACTCAGTAGCTGAGGATGACATTGAACTTCGGGTCCTCTTAACCTCCGTCTTTTAAGTGCTGGGATTACAGGCATGTGCCACCACACTTGGTTTCAGGTCCTGTTGGGGATGAGGCCTAGTGCTTTGTGATTTCTAGCCAAGCACTCTCCCAGTTAAGCCACAGTACTAGCTATGACCTTGATGTTCTCTTTTTAACATTGTTTCAATATATGACTTTTTTTTAACTTAGTATATGATGTTTTGATATTTGAATAATTTTACCTTTTATGCACTGGGAGCTCAGTCTCTTTGCTTGTCTTGTTTCCAAATGATTAACAAAATGTGTTCTGAAGTCCATTCTTGAAGTTCAGCATAGCCTTACTGTTAAAATGCCGTGTTTTTAAAGCTGAGTGTGTATCAAACGTCTTTGACTAAGAATAGAAGTGAAGTTCATTTGGAGGCCCTCAAGTTCACTGTGGCAGTTGTGCTGGAGGTGTCTTTTTTATCTTTTAAAAAGCCTTCTTTGGACTGGTTTCATTATTGTTAAATTTCACTACATGTATATTTATTGATGGGAGAATGTGTGCTACTGAACACACGTGGAGGTCAGGACAGCATGGCAAGTTGGAGCTGTTCCACTTGTGGGTCTCTGGGATTGAACTCAGGTGGTCATTCTTGTCAGTGAGTGCCTTGTTACTGATGAGCCACTTCAGCAGTCTTTGTGTTGATTTTAAATCAATTAATGTTGTGCCTAACCTATTGTTTGCATTGTCTGCTCCAGGGTTGGACTGGTCTGAAGAGAGTGGAGAGGAGCTGGAAGACTCAGATCAGGCCTCGCCATATCAGGTTGCATGGTCCATCCGAGAAACCCTCAGATATGAAAGACACACGTAAGCTCTCGGTTTGGTTCTCCACTTGGTTTTATTCTTAGATATGTAGCAATTTGCCTTTCTGTCTGTGCCAATGTTTTCATTAAATCTTGCTGTGCTATAATTAGGTGTAGTTAGTGTAGAAAAAAAAAATAACTATCCTATTTTGGTGAGTCTAAGTTTTGAACCTAAATCAAGCTGTATCCTATCTTCTGTCTGTCAGCCTAAAAACATCTATCTAGACCTTAAAACATCTTAACTCCTAAGCAACCTAGCTAACTGTAAAACTAACTATTTGTTCTTCAACCCATCAGAGACTTAAGAAGGAATAGAATTATACCCAAGTAAGCAGGAAGTGCAGGCAAGCAGCTTCCAAAATAATAAAAATGACAAAGACAGTCCGCTGCCTGGATAGTCACTCAAAATCTCTATAATGTTGGCCCAGTAATCTGAGAGACATAATTGTGAAGCAGGAACTATGAAGAATTTGCTTACCCTGTCTTGGCAGAGGTTGGCAGTCAGGTTGGCCTGCATCCAAGCTTGCCCATTTTAGGCTACTACTGTCTGCAGTAGAGTCGGGGCATTTCTTTGCCAAGTGACTTTGCCACATTTGTTGTCATCTCCTAATGGAGATTCTGTGATGCCCTTTTTCTTATTTGAGGTAGGCTGGGGATACTGCCAGGAGTTGACATGTCTTTTCAAAGAATCTTTAAAATAATAAAACCATTTTTAAACTTCCATATTCTGTTTTTGAAGTTTTTGAAGACTTTTATTTATTTTTATCTAGCTAGCTAGCTAGCTAGCTATAGAATCATATTTATTTATCTATCTGTTAAACCCAGGTTGTATATTCCTGTGATAATTTAGACTAGTAACTGGCTAGACTATGAATTTGATTAATTTACCATTAACTTTGTTTTTTAACTATCCTAAATAGTTTGTAATAGTAGCTTTAAATGTCCTGGAAGTAAACCTTATATTTATAAATGAGTTGATGGGTACAAATGGGTACAATACTTGATACCAGAGCAGAAATATGTTTGTGTTTGTGTGTGTATCAGTATACCACCATTTATACCAATGAAACAAAAATAACCTTATTTTAATATAATAATACCTTTAAGTCGAAGAGTAGATTCAGTAGTCTACTCTTTGTCTTATTATTCCTGTAAGATTTTTCTATATTCCCTCTCCTTTGTTTTTAACTGCTTCCTCCTTTATCTAAGAAAGGTAGAGAAAAGAAAAAGAGAAATCCCTGAGTCTGAGGTTTTATATTTTGTTTTCTCTCTGAATAAGACCATTAATAACTTGTAACCAGTTCCCGTAGATGATAACAAACACCCATAGCCCATTAGAACAACCAAAATTTATCTACCCCACCTTAAGGGAATGGGACGTCATTCTTCTCAAGATTCAGTCCTGCTGATTTTAGGGCATAGGAATCCTTTTGTGGGGCCCAAGTAAAATTGGAAAAAATGGTTAATTAAGCTAGTAATAATATTTGTGGTCCAGTCTCTAAATGTTTGGAAATTTCAGGCTTAATTGAAGTCCTGTTTGGAACAGTCTGAAAGGCTGGACCAATTGCGATCAGCAGCTTCATTTGAAGCTGTCCTGGAGACAGACTTTGATGGGGAACAGAAACTGAAGCAGTCTCAGGCTAGATCAGGCAGGATGCTGGGATAAATGTGTCAGCATCTCAGCATCCTGGAGGATGAATCCTGTCAGCTCTGATCCAGGGTCACCGGTGTCCAGTTCTTTTGCTCTGAAAACATGTAATTTTTCACAAGAAATGTACAGTTCTAAAATAATAAATGCATGGATGTGCAGAACGCACAGATCAAGTAAGTATGGTTCTCTGCTCTTTGTATGAGCAGAAGAAAGACATCTGTCTTTCTTTAAGCCAGTCTGGATTGTATACAGAGTGTAATACCAGTTTTATCTATGCCATTTAAAAGGATGGCATGAGAAGCCTTGAGGATTTTTGTTGCCAACAAGATTTATTAGCTATGCGTAGTTGAAGTTGTAGCTGGAGATGTTTGCATGTTCCAGTCAGTTTCAGAGTTGTTCCCATGTGGAGGGATCAGCAGCTTATGTTTCCTGTTCTGTTTGGTCTTCTTGACTTCTTTTTATCTTTTGTGTAGTCAAGATATTCTGGAGGTCTTCCTCTGTCAAACCTGATCCTCATTATCTTGGACAAAATCCAAAGCCCTTTTTCTTTTCCTGTTAACAGAAACATAAGGCTTTCCTCCCAAAATAATATAGCTTTGGTCCTCCAGCTTGAAGCCAAAGCAAATATAGGATGATTTAATTTAGTAGTCCCATTCTTATCTAGGTCTGTTTTATTTTGTTCTCTCTCAAAGAGGGTTTATAAAATTCCCATTACCATTGATCATATAGCCAATTTAATGTTGGTAAATCAAAACAGGACTGTATGGAGTCTTAATAACCTTTTATAGAGATATATTTATTAATTTTATTTAGACAGGGTTTTCTGTGTAGTCTGGGCTGCCTTGGATTTGCTCTGTAGAGCTCTGTAGATTAGGCTGGCCTGAAACTTACAAGGAATCTGTCTTTGTCTCCCAGGTATTAGGATCAAAGGCATGTGTTTATTTATATTATTTCTTTCTTTTTCTTCTTTCCTTGAAGATTTAATTTCTGTGTAGATCTATCTATCCTTACTGAGACAGGGCTGTCTTGGATTTGCTCTGTAGATCAGGCTGGCCTCAAATTCACGGGAAACCTATTTGCCTCTTTCTTTGTCTCCCATGTATTTAATTATTATTTTTTAAAAATTGGATATAGTTATCCTTTCATTTTTCTCTTTTAATTTAACAGTCTTCCATGTATTCAACTTTATTTAAACTCCTTTGTGTCTTAGTGCTCAAGCACATTTTAAAGTATATTGTGCCTGTTTAGGGGTTTATGTTTCTACATTCCATGCTCTTGCTATCCTTACCTTTCTTCCACATGGAGTGGACCACCTTTAAACATAGGAATCATAACTTGTGTGTTTCGGGACCTGTCTTAGGCTGGCGTGTATTTCACTGTCTGTATTGGCTGCTGTGACCCTCTACTCTAGCTACTCCAGGCTGAGCCTCCACGAGAGCCTCCAGTCTATGGGAGTTGTCAGCTGCCCAGTCAGTGAGACATACAAACTTTATTGTTAGGTTTCAATAACTCTTGGCTATGGGAAGCATGCAGCTTCCATGTTCATCTGCCAGCCTAACTCTGGGTCCTTACATTGACTAACAATATAGCTTTTCTAGGGCTTTTGGCACCAGTTGTCCCGTGGGAGCCCCATATCCTAAGGAGACTGGCTGGCTGCTCAGAGCAGCACGTCACCCTTTCTCTTTATATAATTTTAGGATCGCTGTATCTTTATAGGTCAACAAGGATATTACTATTGTAATACTAAGCAAAACTACCTAGTACCTTTAAGAAAAATGTGTCATTTTGAATTAAATGGCTATATCTTATCAGAAGGGGGTCCTGGTTCTGCCCTGACTTCATTATGTAAGCCAGGCCTAGAATTCACAGAGATCCTCCTGTCTCTGTCTCCTGTGTGCTGGGATTAAAGGCATACACCATCACCGCCCTGTTCAAATATTTCATCTCAATTCCAAATCACTGTAACTCTAAGTTTAGAAAACAAATTTAAACTGTAATGACATTCTGAGTTTACTTAAAATTTTTAAAAATCTATGTTTTAGTAATGCCAAAAAATAAAAATGTCCTTTCTATTCGCCGCTATTAGAGAAAACCAAAAACATTCAAACAAAAATCAGGCAAAGAAACAAAGTTTTAAGTTTTGGGCCAGTTGTGCCATCTCAAACTGCAACAGCTAAGCCTGGTCCACCATTCCTTGGAATTTAGTTGTTGCTGTAGTGTTACCAGTGGGTCTTTACCAGAAAGAGTTGATAAACATCTGGTAACCAGAGAGCTATCAATTTTCTATTTTCTATCAAGAAGAGAGCCCTTTTCCTTACTCTATTCTTATTGCTTATAATTTAGCATTCTATCTCTCAGTTCTCTCCCTACCTAAGTCTACTCTATTTTGAAGTTTCCTAGAGAGGGCACCAATGAACACCAGCTCCATGACAACAACAACCAACATGAAGCCACGAAAGATCCTCTGCCGTGGTGCTTTCCATTTTACTCGAAGCTTAGGTCTTTATAGCCTAGAAAGCCTAGGTCTTTCTAGCATGCTTTTAACATTGTTGCTGTCCCCTCAGGCTCTGGCCCAGGAGAGACCATAGTAGCCTCCATTCGCTACCCTCTGTTGTCTGCTTTGTTGGAAGGCAGCAGCGTCTCTTAAGGGAGTTCTGCCTTTGCCTAGCAAGAGTTTTCCTATCAGTAGTGTTTGACCCTGTTGGTTCTGTTTTCCTAGCCTGCTTTCCACCTGGGTCTGGGTTTGTGCTTGTCTTACTTGCTTCTGGCAAGTTTCTCAGAGTTATGGACTCTGGAGGGCAACTGTCTTTTCAATCTCCACAGAATTAGATTAGGCTAGGGCTGTAGTTGTAGCTCCTCCCTTTGCTATATTGACTGTGGTCTTGGAGAGTTTTAGTTTGAAGTTTCCATCTGGAACTTTTTTAATGTTTAAATGTGAATATTGAGGATGTGAATAACGTGAAATCCTTTGAGCGCCAATTGTAGAAAAAAAATTCTTTTTTATATTAATTAATACAGGAGATTATTATGGCAGTAGTTTTCCTTAACCAGCTAGTTTCCCAGTGATTGACATAGAGAGACTGTGACTTATTAAGCTGTAGGCACTATGCTGCACAGATTCTGACCATTTTAATTGTAGTACTGCTAAAACCCACATAAAAGCCAACCACTTGCTAATCTGATGATTCCCAGGACAATTCTGCTTCATCAGCCTGTCCTCATAGCTATGTCCACATACTCATCATCCATTTTGCCTCATGATGACTCCCTTTTCTCTGGCTTCATCTCCTGCTACTGCTTCTGCTTTTCCTTCTTTCCTCCTTGTCTCTTGACACCCCCTCCCCCCAGCCCAG